GCGGAGCGGGGCTCCGTGGGGCTGAGGAGTTGGAGCAGCGGGACTGGAGCGCTGGGGATGTGTTCTGGGGCCATAGGGGATGGCGACTGGAGCAATGGGGTCGGAAGGATGAGGCAGGGGCCTGGGGCATCTCCCCTTCTGCGGGGCCGCAGGCGTCCTCTCCCCCAGCCCCCCGCACGGGGCTGCCCCCCCAGGCTCAGCTCTCCCCTGCCCCCCCAGGCTCAGCTCTCCCCTCCTGCCCAGCCCCAGAAATAAGAATTAAACACCTACAGGCAGCACGTCCCGCACAGCTCCTGGGGGTGATGTTTGTGCAGCCCCTGGGCAGCTCAGCCCCCCGGTGCCACCCGCCCTGGGTCGCTGGGGGCGGTTGCAGCGGCTGGGCAGAAGATCAGGGCGTTGCTGAGGAGGTTTTGGTGCATTTAGAGCTGCCCGGAACCACAACGTTGTGCTTTTCGGGGGAGGGTGTAGCGTCTCCTCCTTTTTGTGGTTGCTCTCAGTTGGAGCAGAAGTGCCTCTGGGGAGTTCTTAGTTCGCCGCAGGGGCCTGGGGGGGCTTTTCACTTCCCTCCCAGCTGCTGCTGAGCAGCTCCCCCCGTTCCTCTGCCAGGTCTGGGCTGCAGCTCCCCAGCCCCCCTTGCCCTTCTCCCTCCTCCTCAGCAGATCCGAGCCCAGCCAGGTTTTGCTCAGCAGGGTTTCATGTTTGCGAACATATTCAACCTTTCCAAGCTGTGGGATGACTTGAAATGGGAGGATTTGCAGCTGCTTTCGTTATGACGCCGGGGAAGAGCAAAGACAATCCCTAATCATTTTGCAGTGAGGGCTGTTCCATGGGAAGACCAAACAGGGGTTTTAAAGTGCCCTTTTGCTGTGCTGACATTTTTTGCTGGTGGCGCCTGGTGATACCAAAGCTCATATAAGGAGCTCTTTGTGTTGCAGCAGGAAAACAGTTGGTGCCCTTTGCGTGTTTGGGAAAGGCTGGGTGAGGGGTGGAAGGGAAGGGCCTCAATGTTTCCCAGACGCCTGCTTTTGGATAGAGATCCTAACATAGTCCTTAACAAAGCCTCTTGGTGAAACTCCAGCAGCTTTCAAGTTTCAAACTTTCAGCTTTTCCGTGTGGAATCTTGTAAAAAGAGGCAAGACAAGCCTGGCAGTGGTGCTGGGGGAGCCAGGGGACCTTCAGTGCAGACCTTCTGTCTGCAGCACTCCCAGTCCTCTCCCTGCTCATCTCTGGTGCTGTAAGAACTGAAAACACCAAGAATGTCCCTTCGCGTCTGAGCCTCCTCCCCTGCTGCAAATGCCGGGCTGAGCTGAGCTCAGAGCAGACTTTATTAGGAGATTAGGGCTGTGGGGGCCACAGGCAGGTCCAAACCGACTCCATCCTACCCAGAAGTTGCTACCCAGAAGTTGCTATCCACATCCCCAGCCTCCTATCTGAGGAACCAGGCTCTGCTGGCAGAGGGGAGAAGGGAGGAAGAGCAGCGAGGAGTTCCCAGCAGAGCAGGAAGGTCCCTCACTGCCTTCTCCATCTCCTTGGGGCTGGGAAGAAGGTCCTGCCCACACCTCGTTGCATTTGCTACTGTTAGAAATGAAATGTAGTGTTGTTTTTGCATTTTAGTGTTAGAAACACAGTGCCAGGTTTGGTTTATGTCCTAGTGTTAGAAATATATAGTTTGTTTGAGATAAGTGAGGTATCTGTATATTCTAAGGACACCAGGAGGGGTTTGTGGCCCAAGGAACTGAGGGAGTGAATTGGGCTCCACCCGGGGATCTAAACATGGAGAAGGATTTATGGCCCAAGATAAGACCCAGCAAAGCCACTTCTATCTTGCTCTCAGGGCAGGGTGACACCAGTAGCTTTGTTAATTGGGAAGACAGCCCAGGGGGCAAGAAAGGTCAAAATTTTACCTTAAAAAGTGATCTGCTAGAATGGGATGTGTGAGCAGGGGCAGGAAACTTATAGGATACCTGGAGTACCCAGCCAGTGGGGAAAGAGGGGAGGGAAATTTGTGTCGGGAATAGGGAATATAAACTGTTATTCACCTTACTATGGGTGTGCCTGCTTGTTTAGGTTACCCATTCTTGCAAGAATGTAGATAAACTGTGCTTCGTTGAAGGAAGGATCTGTGTGGGCCTGTTCATTGGCAGGACAAATGTTTCTCACACGAGGGTAAAGGAAATCTTCTCTCTCAACAAAGTGTAAGTGCTGGTTTTCCCCAACAGCTACTGCTGTGACATCTGAAGCAGCCACGTGTCAGGTAGAAGCTGAAACGGGGTCCTCATGGCCCTGCAAAAAGCCCCAACCAGTTCTTGCCCAAACCTCAGAAACCAAGAGGATAACAGAGAAAACAGCCCCCAAATAGGCTGCTTTTAGCACCACAGAGCACTCCCCCACCAGTCAAGAGCCCAACATCCCAAACCCTTCTCCAGGATCTCAGGCATTTTGCAGGGGGAGAGAAGCCATCATCACCTCCTGCTGCTTCTCCCCTTCTGATTAGACCTGTTGGGTAAGAAGTGACTAAATAACCAGCTTTCTACACACTCACATGGCTCTGCAGCAGCCACTCCAGCCCTGATAATGCAGGTTTTTAGCTGCACAGAAGCTAAATCACCCTTAATTTGGGTGATTTTCCCCAGGACCTTATTTTCAGAACCCCTTTCAGCAAGGCAGAGACCAGGACTATGCAGTTGGTTTCTCTGGTGGTGGGATGTCCAGGGCTGGAGGTATTACCAAACCGACTCCATCCTACCCAGAAGTTGCTACCCAGAAGTTGCTATCCACATCCCCAGCCTCCTATCTGAGGAACCAGGCTCTGCTGGCAGAGGGGAGAAGGGAGGAAGAGCAGCGAGGAGTTCCCAGCAGAGCAGGAAGGTCCCTCACTGCCTTCTCCATCTCCTTGGGGCTGGGAAGAAGGTCCTGCCCACACCTCGTTGCATTTGCTACTGTTAGAAATGAAATGTAGTGTTGTTTTTGCATTCTAGTGTTAGAAACACAGTGCCAGGTTTGGTTTATGTCCTAGTGTTAGAAATATATAGTTTGTTTGAGATAAGTGAGGTATCTGTATATTCTAAGGACACCAGGAGGGGTTTGTGGCCCAAGGAACTGAGGGAGTGAATTGGGCTCCACCCGGGGATCTAAACATGGAGAAGGATTTATGGCCCAAGATAAGACCCAGCAAAGCCACTTCTATCTTGCTCTCAGGGCAGGGTGACACCAGTAGCTTTGTTAATTGGGAAGACAGCCCAGGGGGCAAGAAAGGTCAAAATTTTACCTTAAAAAGTGACCTGCTAGAATGGGATGTGTGAGCAGGGGCAGGAAACTTATAGGATACCTGGAGTACCCAGCCAGTGGGGAAAGAGGGGAGGGAAATTTGTGTCGGGAATAGGGAATATAAACTGTTATTCACCTTACTATGGGTGTGCCTGCTTGTTTAGGTTACCCATTCTTGCAAGAATGTAGATAAACTGTGCTTCGTTGAAGGAAGGATCTGTGTGGGCCTGTTCATTGGCAGGACAAATGTTTCTCACACGAGGGTAAAGGAAATCTTCTCTCTCAACAAAGTGTAAGTGCTGGTTTTCCCCAACAGCTACTGCTGTGACATCTGAAGCAGCCACGTGTCAGGTAGAAGCTGAAACGGGGTCCTCATGGCCCTGCAAAAAGCCCCAACCAGTTCTTGCCCAAACCTCAGAAACCAAGAGGATAACAGAGAAAACAGCCCCCAAATAGGCTGCTTTTAGCACCACAGAGCACTCCCCCACCAGTCAAGAGCCCAACATCCCAAACCCTTCTCCAGGATCTCAGGCATTTTGCAGGGGGAGAGAAGCCATCATCACCTCCTGCTGCTTCTCCCCTTCTGATTAGACCTGTTGGGTAAGAAGTGACTAAATAACCAGCTTTCTACACACTCACATGGCTCTGCAGCAGCCACTCCAGCCCTGATAATGCAGGTTTTTAGCTGCACAGAAGCTAAATCACCCTTAATTTGGGTGATTTTCCCCAGGACCTTATTTTCAGAACCCCTTTCAGCAAGGCAGAGACCAGGACTATGCAGTTGGTTTCTCTGGTGGTGGGATGTCCAGGGCTGGAGGTATTAATTGCAAAGACATGACATCCCTGGTTGGTTTATCTTCCCTTGGTTTTTGGGGTGGGGACCCATGCAGGGGGGTTAGAACTAGGTGATCTTTAAGGTACCTTCCAACTCAAACCATTCTGTGCTTCAATGGAAAATCTGTCTCATGGCCACCTGTACATGCTGTGCATGTCACGGCCTCCCTAGTGAAGAAACTAAGACAAAAGTTCTCTGAAAATGTTGAAAGCAGCAGCCAAAATGATCAGGAGCTTGTGAGGAGAGCATGGAAAGCCTGGGAGCCTTCAGGTTGGAGAGGAGGGGTTGGGAAAGGGGCTAGGATTGAGGTTTTCAGAGTTGTGGAGGTGATGGATAAAGCAGATCTGGAGCACAAGTGTTGGGGCTGGTCAAGGAAGTGATGGTGCATCTCACTGTGTCCTTCACAGGCCTGCCCACCATGCCCTGGAGCTGCTGTCCCAAGAGCACGTGGTTGCAGAAGGACTGTCCCTCTTGCTGGTTTGAAGGATGCTGCAGGGCTTGGCCATGTCACCCTGGCTGCTGGTGGCCATCAGAGGCTGTGAGTGTCAAAAGGGACGTGTGGGGGGTTGTGTCAGTCACAGACACCCTTGGAGACAGCCCCTTCCATGCTCTCCTTGTGCCCCTGACCTGTCCCTGGAGCTTGTCCCCTCCCCAGTGTAACCTTTTACGTTCGCTAAAAGTGGCTCCTGGCTGGTGGCTCTGGAGGATTTGGGGCCTGGAGGTATCTGACATGGCTTGCTGCTTCCTAAGTCCTTTTACACCAGCAGAGCTACAGTGGGATTCCCACTCCCAGGTGTTGTACAGCCAGGGGTACATTTCAGGGTCACACCTGACCCCCCACTTTAGCTTCATTCCACCCTGGGGAAGCCATAAAAAGTTTTCAAGGCAAAGGTTCTGATGTCAAGACCTGCTTGGACTCCTTTCCATGCTAATATTCCCTGCTGGCCACTCCTGGTGTGCAGAAGCTTCCCAGGAGGCCAGATTCCCATTGTTTTCAGTGCAAGGGTGAGGAATTGTCTTACCAAGTGAAGCAGCATTTCTAAAACACACCAGTGACAATGTTATGGTTTTTATCTTGATGGAGGAAGGAAGTGAGACAGGGGAGTCAGTTGGCAACTTGTGCCAAAAAAAAAAAGAGATGAAACTGCTCGTTGGCAGGTGCTGTCACACTAACCCATCCTGCCCTGGGATCTCTCCTGTCCCCAGCCCTGTGGCTGGGGCTGCAGGGCTGCTCTGCAGAGCTGAGTGTCACCGAGAGCCGCGTGGCAGCCGAGGGATCCTCCATCCTGCTGCAGGCACCACAGCTCCCCAACATCAACCTCACTGAGTGGGAATTCATCGGGGGCAGCAGCCCCCAGCTCATCCTGCAGCACTACACACATTCCTACCCCCCGGTCACCTACCCACCTCCCTTCCAAGGCAGAGTCATCTTCTACCCCCAGAACGGCTCCATCCTCCTGCAGAGGCTGCAGGTGACAGACAGTGGCATCTACAGAGCAACAGTCGATCTGATGCAGGACAAAGCCTGGACCACCCTCCTCGAGGTCCTCAGTAAGTCACGTGTGCTGAGAGGGGGCATTTCTTAGACACGGGGTCACCAAAGTGGAGTCCTAGAACATTTTGAGTTGGAAGGGACCCGTCGGGACTGCCCACCAGTCTGATGTTACCCCAGTGACCATAACACCATCAGCCAGGGTATGGTGGGCTGATCCAGCTGGGTGCTCTGAGGCTGCTGTGAGAGGCAGTGCCCAGGCTTTGCTGAAATACAGAAACCCCCACATTTACTGGCTTCCCTTAGTCAACTGGATGGGTGACCTTATCATGAAAGGAAATGTTTCAGTTTTGGGCAGTGGAAAAGGACATTGAGCAATGGAGTGTCCAAAGGGGAGCCCTGGGGATGGGGAAGGGTCTGGGTGGGGTGACTTAGGAGGAGCATCTGAGGTCACTTGGATTATTCAGCTTGGAGAAGGGGAGGCTGAGGGGTGAGCTCATTGCAGCCTGTGGTTCCTCACCAGGGGAAGAGATGGGGCAGGTCCTGAGCTCTTCACCCCTGTCACCAGTGACAGGACTGGGGGAAATGGTAGGAAGCTGGATCAGGGGAGGCTGAGGTTGGATATCACGACAAGGTTTTTCACCCAGAGGGTGGCTGAGCACTGGAACCAGCTCCCCAGGGCAGTGGTCACAGCCCCAGGCCTGCCTAAGCTCCAGCAGCATTTGGATGATGCTCTCGGGCACATGGGGTGATTTTTGGGGTGCCCTACACAGGGACAGGAGCTGGTCTTGATGATCCTGATGGGTCCCTTCCAACTCAGCATATTCTATGATTCTGTGAAATGAAGTTGGTTAAGCAGGACTTCCCCTCGTGGCTGTGACCAATGACCAAAGCCTCTCAAGGGTTATTCAACAGCTTGAGCATGCTTTGAACTTGGTGGGTGGTGCCCTGCTCCTGTAGTACCTCCTCTCCTTCCAAACTGACCTGGGGTGCAGAGCAGACCTGCTTGGGTCCTTCACAAGGGAGTCAGAAGAGAAAGTTCCAAAGGGCTGGGTGTTTTTCCATGCCAGCCACACTTGGGCCCCAAAGCAAGCCAGGACACGTGCTCCTGGCTGTGCTACCACACTGCTCTCTGCTTTTCAGAGCCCGTGTCCCAGCCAGAGATCCAGTACAGCCCCAGCCTGGCAGGTTCCCCCATCGAGCTGACCTGCGTGGTGCCCGAGGGAGTGGTGGCTTCCATCTCCTGGAAGAAGCAGGGACATCCCCTTCCCCCTGAGAAGTGCTACCAGCTCTCAGGAAACACCACCGTGCTGCAGATCAGGAAGGGAGAGAAGTCAGACTGTGGTTCCTACTCCTGCAATGTCAGCAACAGGATCAGCTGGAAGGAGACGGCCCTGAACCTGACCCTGGCAGGTCAGCCTTGCCCTGCCCTGGTGGGACCCAGCCTTGGTCCTGTGCCAGGGCTGTCCCAGCACGGGGCTCCCCTCCTGCCCTGCCTTTGCAGGTCTCACCCCTCCCCTCCACCACGCCTGGAGGTTGGTGCTCATCACCTTCATCCTCAGCGCTGGCTCCACCGTCGGCTTCGTTGTCCTGCTGTGTCAGAGGTTTGGTGAGTGCCAGGTCTGCAGCCCTGACCCCAAACTCAGCCCTTCTCTCCCCACCCTGGCCAGGGCAGAGGGCAGAATGTCTCGGCCAAGCTCCTTCTCCCCATCATCCTCTATCTAGGCTGAGAAGTGAGGGTGCTGAGACACTGGCCCAGGTTGCCCAGAGAGGTGGGAGTTGCCTCATCCCTGGAAACATTCAAGTTCAGGGAACTGGGATTGTTTAGTTTGCAGAAGAGGAGGCTGAGGGGAGACCTCATTGCTCTCTACAGCTGCCTGAAAGGAGGTTGCAGGGGGGTGGGAGTTGGGCTCTTCTCCCAGGTGAATAATGACAGGACAAGAAGAAATGGCCTGAAGCTGCCCCAGGGGATGTTTAGATTGGACATTAGAAAGAATTTCTTTACCCAAAGAGTGGTTGGACAGTGGAACAGGCTGCCCAGGGAGGTGGTGGAGTCACCATCCCTGGAAGTGTTTAAAAGGAATGTAGATCCAGTGCTGAGGGACGTGAGTTAAGCACTGAATGGGTCAATCAGGTTATGGTGGGGGGAGTTAGCTTATGGTTGGACTTGATGATCTTCAAGGTCCCTTCAACTAGGATGATTCTATGAGTCTATGAATCTATTGATGGGCCTCTGAGCAACCTGATCGGGTTGAAGATGTCCCTGGTCATTGCAGGGACTTGGACTAGGTGACCTTTAAAGGGCCCTTCCCACTCAGACCATCCTGTGATAGTTCACTTGGGGAGTGGGAGGAAACTTGCTCAGTGACCAAGCTGCTGTTGGGTCGTGTCCTTGGAGCCATACCCAAGGATCTGTAATCTGCTAGTGCATTCTTCTGCCCACCAGGGGTAATCCCTGGAGTAACAGACCATCTGGAGAGCAGAGGTGAAGCCCCACAGCTGGTAGGGAAGTTCTCCCCTGTGTATTTGTGTCTCAGCACTAACACTGGGGACATGTGCAGGTTGTGGCCTTAGATCTTGCCTTTGGGGGTGATGTTCCCTGAGGAGCTGTGCAAGAGCTCTGGGTGGGCTTTCCCCCCACGAAATGGTCTCCAGAGGAGACCCAGGCCAGTGTCAGATCATTATAGGAGGTGAAACCTTGGCCAGAGGTGTGATGAAGTGTCTCAACAGGTGGAACTGGTGTCTGGTTCAACATGAAATAGCCCCAAATCTGGCTGGTTCCTCCTGAAGTCAAACAAAGCCCTTGAAAGTTCACCAGGTTTCCTCTTTGGGTTTTTTTAACCTCAGGGATTAAATTATCTACAAAGAAAACCTGTGCTTGTTGTTCACTTTCCCTTGCAGGCTGCACACCTCCTGGGGGTTGTCCTGGGCATCTTTGCTTTTCACCAGGACAGAAAGCACAGAAACATCTCACTGTGTTCACCCACGGGCTGCTGTGCATCTCCTCTGTCCTCCTGCTTGCCACCTCCATCATCTGGCTGCAGGAAGAAGGTAGGACCGAGTAACCTGATTTGTTCCTGGTGGCTTCAGTGCCTCATCTTCCTTTTTCCTCCAGGTCTTTACAGTGGCACTGGTGGTGCAGGGTGTCCACCAGCTTACATGGAATCATAGAATTATTTGGGTTGGAAGGGACCTTAAAGATCATCTTGTTCCAACTCATCTAGTTCTAGCTCACCTTCTGGTTTACCTCTACCCCTGCAGGTCCTTCTGCTGCCTTCATCTTGCTTGGACTGTTCCTCTTTGCAGCAGCCATAGGAGCTGCCTGGGCAGCAGCAGGTGCCCTGTGGAGACCAGCAGCGACCAGCCATCTCAAAACCCAAAGGTGTAAGTTGCTGTTGATGGTCCAAACCTTGGGTGGAAAAAGCCACAAGCCCAGGGGTCAAGTCCTCAGGTTTTCACTGCCAGGAGGGTGCGGGGCTGTGGCACATCCAGGAGACAGTGCCCAAGCTGTGCTCAACCTCCCACCCAACCCAGCCTCCCCATGTCCCAGCCTGCACGTTTTCCTCTCATCCATCAGCAATGTTTCCCTCCCCAGGGCACCGTGTCCTCCAGAGCTTTGCAGCCCCCACAGCGCTCGTCGTCAACTCGCTCTTCAGCCTCCTTTTGCTCCACAATATCCAGCAGCTCCATGGTGAGGTGTTTCCACCACCTGTGTCCTTGCTCAGCTTTCTTCTGGGGAGCACTGGGGTGCCTTGTGGGGTTGGTTGGCTTCACACAGGACAGAGAGTGTCCTTAGGTGGCTTCGCATGGCTGGTCCTGCAAGAAACCTTCCCAGAATCTGCTGCTGCTTTGGGTTGGAAGGGATCTTAGACACCACCAAGTCCAAACCCCCTGCCATGGGCAGGGACACCTCCCACCAGCCCAGGTTGCTCCAAGTCCCATCCAACCTGCCCTTGAACACTGCCAGGGATGGGGCAGCTTTTTGGAAGCTCCATGCAGAGCTGGGAGGTCGCAGCTCTTTGGTAGGAGCACAAGGTTCATCCTGGTGGCTCCAGCGTTTGAAGCACAGGGATCCCCATCCTCCATCCTGTAGAAAGTCCCTGGATTAAATTAATGGCACCCAAATGTTCCAAGGGGGGTACTGGCCAGAGGGACAACACTGACCAAGTTCTCCCTTTCTCTTGAGCAGAGCAGGGCTGCTCAGAGGCCACTGATCTGACCACCTATGCCTGTGTCACCGTGGCCATCCTGGCCCTGCTGCTCCTCCTGATCTTCCTCACATGTAAGTGTCCCTGTGGTTTCCTTCCAGGAACCATAAAGAGGTGTTTCTCCACAGAGACCCCCTGGCTCAGCTCCCACACCCCCCTGGACAGATGCTTCCCACTAGACAAAACCCAGACTTCTCTTTTCAAGAGCAGGACTGTCCAAACCAGCCTGAGGACCCAGCACTGGTGTCCAGCCTTGTAGGGCAGCACAGCTGGCCCTGCTCCCTGCCTGTGGCCTTGCCAGCCCCTTTGATTTCTCCACGGATGCTCCAGGGAAGCAAGTTCCTCCTCCAGAATGTCCTACTCTCATCTTCCCTAGCGATGGCCATACTTTGGTCAAAAACACCCCCCTCAGCTGTGGAAGCTTTGGGAGGAGAAAATTCCCCTAGCAGAAGGGAGCAGAAGGGTTTTGCTTCCCCTCCAGGGCTCTGCAGCCCCATTTCCTTCCCCCATCCCACGGAACACAGGGATCAACATCAGGTGGGAACATCCCACCTGAACTGCCAGGTGCTGTTGGAAACCCAGGAGTTACTTGGCCTTTCCTTTCTTCCCAGGTCACAGGGAGAAGCAGCAGCAGCAGATGGGAAGTCCCAACACCTCCCGGGCCATTTATCCAACCTGCCCTTGAACACTGCCAGGGATGGGGCAGCTTTTTGGAAGCTCCATGCAGAGCTGGGAGGTCGCAGCTCTTTGGTAGGAGCACAAGGTTCATCCTGGTGGCTCCAGCGTTTGAAGCACAGGGATCCCCATCCTCCATCCTGTAGAAAGTCCCTGGATTAAATTAATGGCACCCAAATGTTCCAAGGGGGGTACTGGCCAGAGGGACAACACTGACCAAGTTCTCCCTTTCTCTTGAGCAGAGCAGGGCTGCTCAGAGGCCACTGATCTGACCACCTATGCCTGTGTCACCGTGGCCATCCTGGCCCTGCTGCTCCTCCTGATCTTCCTCACATGTAAGTGTCCCTGTGGTTTCCTTCCAGGAACCATAAAGAGGTGTTTCTCCACAGAGACCCCCTGGCTCAGCTCCCACACCCCCCTGGACAGATGCTTCCCACTAGACAAAACCCAGACTTCTCTTTTCAAGAGCAGGACTGTCCAAACCAGCCTGAGGACCCAGCACTGGTGTCCAGCCTTGTAGGGCAGCACAGCTGGCCCTGCTCCCTGCCTGTGGCCTTGCCAGCCCCTTTGATTTCTCCACGGATGCTCCAGGGAAGCAAGTTCCTCCTCCAGAATGTCCTACTCTCATCTTCCCTAGCGATGGCCATACTTTGGTCAGAAACACCCCCCTCAGCTGTGGAAGCTTTGGGAGGAGAAAACTCCCCCAGTTTGGGAGCAGAAGGGTTTTGCTTCCCCTCCAGGGCTCTGCAGCCCCGTTTCCTTCCCCCATCCCACGGAACACAGGGATCAACATCAGGTGGGAACATCCCACCTGAACTGCCAGGTGCTGTTGGAAACCCAGGAGTTACTTGGCCTTTCCTTTCTTCCCAGGTCACAGGGAGAAGCAGCAGCAGCAGATGGGAAGTCCCAACACCTCCCGGGCCATTTACGTCACAGCCCGCTCGGTAACTCCCTGCCCTCAGCTGCTTCCCCTCCGAGTGTCCCACGATGAATATTTGATTCATTATGATCAGTTTATTCATAACAGGAAGGGGGCACCTGCCTGCCTCCCTGCAGAAGCTGTGGGCTCTGTCCTCACCTGGGGGGGGACACAGGGGAGACTGCTGGTGGCTGGTGACACAGGTCAGGTCCTGTGGGAGGTGGTCACAGGCTGGGGGGGGGTTTATTGCCTCCCCCAGGCCAGTCTCTGGGGTGATGTGCAGCAGTGGGGGGGCTTGAGAGGAGTGTGATGGCAGCGTGTGCTGGGGGTGCTTGTCCAGCCCCCCCAGGCAGTGCAGCTTTGCTCTGGGGTGCCCCAGCGTGTGGCTGAGGAGCCCCCGGTCCCTTTGGTGCCACCAAAGGACATGGTCTCTGTGTTTTCTGCAGGTGGTGGAAGAAACCCGAGGACAGAAGCAGGAAGGGGAGTAAATGGTTGTCCCAGAAATGGTCTCCCACACACTTAACCCTCTACATGGACCTGTCACACCTCCTGCCTTCTGCCTTAGTGTGTTAGTGAGTCAACAACACAAAAAAACATCATGTAAGTGTCAATCAAGGGGAGAAGCTGAAGGTGTTTTGAGGACTTTGCTGCAGTTTCCTCCACTAGAACATGCTCCTGTTGCTAGTGAGCATGGACAACTGCAGCTGAGCAGATGGATCCCCAGGATCAGCCCCTCTTTGTTCCAGGAGGGTTTTGGTGTCACCCCCTCCCTGCCCTCCTTCCTCCTCCTCCCTGTGTCCCTTTTGGAACCCCAGGGAGCTGGGTGGGTGGTCACTGGGGTGGCAGCTCTGCTGTTGCCAGTCCCACTTGCCTTCCCTCTGCTTTGCAAGGCAAATTGTCCCCATGTCACATCCCCTTCCCCAGAAACCTCAGGCCAAGCCCCCAGCTTTGGAAGGGATCCCTTTGGGAAAGATGCCCAGGAAAGGCAGCTCCACCCTCATCCCTGTGCACCCTGGGAGGGGGATTTATTTTTTAAGGTACTTAGTATATTCCAAAGGGTGATTTCCCTGAGCTGATTTCCCTTCTGGGGGTTTGGAGCCAACCCTGCATTCACACCGTGGCCTTCAGCAGTTTCCCCTGCAGGCTGGAGCATTGTGGGTGAAGTTGGAGCAAGTTCTGCCAAGGTGCCTCGTGTTTGTCCCCGGGGCCAGGATGGCAGCTCCAGGGGGTGTTGATCCGTAACAAAACAAAAGGGGGAAAAAAACCCCACCCTTCTTTGCTAGGCTTGCTTTAATAAAGGTATTTCCCAAGGACACTTCCATCTGTATCCCTGCCTTGCCTCCTCAAGCAGGAGGTGACTCCAGCCCAGTCCTGACCCTGCTGCTGAACTGGTTCCTGCCCTGGCTGGTGCTGGACCAGGTTTCCCTGCCCAAGTACAAGTTCCTGCAGCAGCTGCTGCCCATGGCACTGATCCAGGTGCTTCCCATGGAAGAGGAATGCTGCTTTGGGAAGCAGGCAGCTTCCTCTGGCCCTGCTGCCCCGCCGAGTTGTGCAGCATTTTCCCACCTTCCCTGCTCCTCTTGCCTGCTCTGGGACCCCCCTTGTCCCCACATGGACACCCCAGGCTGGATTCAGGGTGTCTCTCCTCCAAACCCAGGGCTCTTTGGGATGCTGGGGATCAAACCTACGGTGCAAACATGAGACTTTCCCATGTTTTTGCCCCCCCCTGCAGAGCCCAGACCCCACGAAGGAGGAGGAGGGGGAGGAGTGACCAGCAGGGCCAGGCAGGCTGCTGGCATCTGTGACCTGCACTTGGGTACCTGAGAGCCTGGAACAGCCCCAGAGACCCTCAGTAACCACACAAAGAGGATACAACAACGATAAACATCATAAATAAATAAAGATGGGAATAACTTGACTAACAAACAAACTAGATCATGTCCAGAGGTCCCTTCCAACCACTAATATTCTGTGATCATCTGGAAAGCAGAAAATTAATCCAAATAGGTGAAACGGAGCCTGGGAAAGTAGGAAGGGGTCAGAGGGGTTGGCTGCTTCAGCTGGAGGAGCAGAGAAACAGCCCAGGAAGACACAGAAACCCCACAAAGCAGGGAACAAACCGAAACCATCCTCCCCTGCGGGTGTTCCCGCTGCAGCAGAACCAGCCGCGGTGTCCTCTGCCCCCTCCTGTCGCTGCGCTGCAAAACAGCCTCACTGCCTGCCCAGAACGCAGCCTCTCTCTGCCAGGGCTTCCCTGCACCAGAGGGGACCACCACAGGGGTCTCCCCGGGACCCCAGCCCCACAGGATGGCCCCTCATCCACCCGGGAGCGGCTTGGGGGGGGCTGCACTGGGCACATGTCAACCCAGACACACAGACTGCAACCCAGTCACTGCTGGTTGGACTCTGTGAGCTTAAAGGTCTTTTCCAACCTGCACAATTCTGTGATATATCCAGCTCTTCACATGATAAATTAATCCCAGTTTTACACAGCTCTACTCTCTCTGCCCCAAAGGCTTTTTCCCCACCACATTCACCCAATACAACACACGTTGTTGCCCCCAGCCTAGAGGAGGCTCCTCTGCTTAAACACTGCACATGAACCTGCCTGCAAAGGGCACCAGATGACCCTGGACACTAAACCCCCCAAAGGCATCTTGGCCCCCATCACTTGGGTGGCAGCTTCCCAAAGTCCCACTGCTCCCAGCCCTGCCAGGGCAGCCACTTGCCAGGTCCCCATGACTCAGGGCACTGCTACGTGTTAAAAATACACTTACCCAGCTCTGGAGCAGGGTTGTGGGGTTGGGTTGAACCCCAGCAGGAGCAGGGCTGCCTGGGCAAGGAGGGGACAAGGCTGCAGGATCTCCCCCTGTGGTAAATCCAGCTCTTCAGGGGCTGAGCACCCTCTCTCAAGCCTGACACAGGTGCAGGGTCCCCAGTCCCACGTCCCACTGCCAGCTTCAGACCCCCCCCCACGGGTTGTTGCCCACCTCTGAAGACCATGGTGATACCCACGGGATAACAAACAGGCTTTTATTAGCAGCAACAGGCATTAAACCACCACACCAGCCCCAGAGGGATGTACAGACATCAGGGGGAAGCAGAGGGAAGTACATTCTGTAACACACGTGGCTGCGCCTGGTTTACACCTGCAAGTGCCACGGGGACCTGACAACCAGCTCAGACCTGAGCCTGGGATCTGATCTGCTCCAAGTCCTTTAGCTGCAAGGTTGAAAGGCCAGGCTGAGCAGGGGCCCTTTGCTGCCAGCCCCTGTGTCCCTGTGTCCCCGGGACAGAGCAGCCCCGAGCAGGCAGGGTCAGCAGCCTCCCAGGTGGCCAAGCCCCCAGCCAGTTTGCTCTTTTTGCTCCAGGAAGAGGATCAGGACAGCTCAGCTCACACTGTGGGATGTGATTTGAGCCTCTCGTGGGTGCAACTCTATTCCCCAAGGAGGAGGGATAACTCTGAGGAGAAGGAAACCCACCACTCCCCTGCCAGGACAGCCCTGGGCTGCAGCAGCAGGTCTGCAGACAAGACCAAGCAATAAACACCCTCCTACCCCCCAGTACTGCTCTCCATGACCCTGACTTGCAGCAAGGAGGTCTCCAGGCCACCAGCTGCTCTGGGACAGAAGTGACCATCCCATAGCTAGAGCACCCACAGAGGCCTTTGGGACCAGCCAGGGTGCTGGACTGGGGCTTATCCCCATCAGAACAAAAGATGGGTGCAAACACCATGGCCTGAGGGGCAGGAGGCACTGGGGAGCTCCAGCACCCAGTTTTCTCCAGGCTGAAGAGGTCAGTTGTGCCTCCAGGCTCAGACATTTCAACTACAAGACCAATTAACAACGAATAATGACCCCCTCCTGAGTAAAGGCCAGGAGAGGAGCAGAGGGGAAGAACAAGCTTGGCTGGGCACAGCTGGGCAGGAGCCAGGGGGCTGCTGCTGGGAAGAGCAGGGCATGTCCCCAGATCCCAGCAGAGCCCGAGGCTGGAGGACAGAGATGCACTTGGGGGCACCCCTGTGTCCCCCACACCAGGCTGCCTCACTGCTCTAACACAAACTCCTGCCCTTCTCCCTCCCTCCAAGGGCCAAACCAATCAAACCCCCCACGATCTCATCCCCTGGTGAGTCCCGGGCACCAGGAGGCCACGGTGAGGGGCTCAGGGCTGGCAGGGTAGCCCTCCCCAGGGCCACTGCTTTGCCCAGTGGGGCCAGAGGCTCTTCCCACACCCACAGGCACTTACCCCAGAGCACGAGGGCAGCAGCAGCAGGGTCTCCAGGCACAGCAGTGCCCAGTGGCACAGGGCCCTGGGGAAGGGCAGGACAGCACTGGGACAGTCCAAGTCAGTGTCATACAAACACATATTCACGGGGTTCA